ACAACACACACACACACACACACCACTGTATTATGTACAGTAGGTGTGTGTGCTGTTGTGTGTGTGTTTTACCCCTATCCATACAACTATTTCGTCATTAGTGCATGCACTTCTTCCTAACACAAAAAAACAAAAACATGCATACTGCAATTACATTTAATCAAATAGATAATACCACAGTTTGTTCTCCAGACACACACACACACACACAACTCAATCTAACACAACATACTAATCTAACTCGAAACACACAGACACAAACAGCTATTAATAATACAACAAGAAACAACACAAACTTGATTAAAATATTCAATACACGCAACTCTGAATCAAATAACCGCATAAACTATGTGTGTCGCCACTATTCTGAAGTGCTAAGCCTCTGCGTCTCCATTGTACAATCAATGATTTCATCTTGATGTATACTCTGATATGCTCCTCCCATAGTTGGATCGAGATACACTGCATGTAAGTGTGTCGTGAATATAGACACTGTACTCATTTAACTATTTGTGTTAAATCAAAGTTGATGATGAATGAGTCAGATTATCACAAACTCATAATCTATAATTTCTGTAAAATTTCTTTATGATCTAGGTTGTTTAACTCGTATAAACTAAGCTATACAGGATAATAAAGATGCAATAATATAATGAAGAGGTAAGAATTTGAAATATCTAGAATAGTGTGTATCACATAAATTAATTAGACAAGTGTCAGTGGTAGATAAATGCAGTCAGTGAACCAACTAAATAAATAATGCAGCATGTATAGCAACAAATTTGCATCTATTTTCACTAGTTGTCCAGCGCTGCCATGCTAGTTACGGAAATTCAAAATGAATATAAAAATATACAAGCAGAGTGGATTACGCAGCATTAAGCCCCAGAGACCAGTAGTGCTATCAAACACTTACTGCGAACAAAATCTTGAAGTAAATATACAGATTTCATGATTGATTAGCAGTGATATTATATAATATCAGGTTAATTATTAGGGCGGTCCTTCCAGATAGGCCAGAAATAGGATATTGTTACATAGTTTGGAGGCTAAATGCTGTAGCTGATATCGAAGTAAATGATGTTGGTAGTAGGCCAGCTGTTTGAGCATTCATTGCACACTACACATCCTCACTATATCGAGTCCCAATCCTAATCATAAAAACAGATTTATCCCATTAACAACTTATGTTTATAGTATATACCTCTGGCTCCCTGTAACATTAATTTATAATTAAGCAAGTAGTATCGTCCAGTAAGTTCTACTGTAATACAGGATCCATGCCGCACTGTGAAAAACAATCAGAGACTGGAATATTATATTTAACTTACATTATACTCCTATAATAATCTTCCGTCTTTGTTTTCTGTGATTTCAAATACTTCAATATTCATCAAATATAATCAATTAGATTTAATCGAGAAAATATTCCAGTTTGATAAACTAAAAAAACAATCATACGTATGGCAAAACAAAAACAAACAAAACAATAAATAATAAATACAAATATACAAACAAGGAAACCTAAAAATAAATTAATATATGAATTATTAAAGTAATAAAATTACAATATTAAATTAACAACATGACAAATACACAACTAAATGAATAATATACTACAAAAAATTCATGCTTACAGCTAAATTCCAATAATAATCATCCAAATGTAAAAAAAAAAAATTCATAAATGCTAGATAACTCTACTTAAAAAAAAAAATTGCGTAAATAATACAAAATAAATAAAAAAAAACAAAATAAAACAAGACACGTAGCAGCTAACGAAATCCAAGGTGAAGTTAAAATCAAAATCAAAAAACATCAACAGAACAAAATCAAACAAGCAACATATCAAAATCACAACAAACTTGAACAGAGATATTTTACTTTATCACATTCAAACTAACACTAAAACCAAAGAACAGATACAGAAGTCAAAAACATAAAAACGTCATACATAAGAAAACAAACATGAATAACTTTCACCACGCAGCCTCAGATGTTAAAACAAACGATGAAGTAAGTATCTACCACACGACAAACAGGACGAAAACAATGGCATAATAAACAAATGACATTTAGACTTACCACCGGAACAGACATATCATTACGGCTGGCATAAGGTAGCACACAATACTAAGAAACAAGCTGGTGTGTGTAGTGTGATTTTGGTGTGTTGTGTCTGTGTGTGTGTAGTGTGTGTGTGTGTGTTTCAAACCTTTGTGTAAAACCATAACTGTTTATTGAAAGTGTTTTCGTATCGATTTGACCACAAAACACATACCCTGTGTGTTTATCTGAGAAACTTAAACTGCGACTCTTGTGACTGATTGAAAAGTCACTAAAGCAGCTTTTAAACTTTGTTGTGTATACTAACATACACATCTGAAGAGCCCGACAACAGATATAATCAGTCAGTCAAATACATCGAAAGATCGTAATTCCAAGAAATATATACTCGTAATACAAATCGATATTGGTGTGTGTTCCCCGATGAGCACCAATCGTAAATACATTGTGCGTAATGTATTTGGTAGTCAATCGCATGACTAAATGTGTATATATTTTTACTCAGTCATCGATGGCGCTGTAGAATCGAGAGACAACCTACGCCCCCACAGAACACATAGAGTAAGAAGAGAAGCAAGCTCTCAAAAAGACCACACTTCAGACACTCGCAGTCCCCGCCACACACACAACCATAATACATAGTATGTTAATAACATATAACTATGTCACCTTCTAATCAACTATACATACTAAACAACACTCATAAACCTACAGAACTCCACCCAGTGAAAGCTCTCTATCTATTGAGTTAAGAAATCAGAACTCTATAACATTTCAATTCTACTATCTGTAACATGTGAATATTTGCCCTTCACCACCTCTACCTATTCCAGTTATCTCCAGGTGACCAAGTCAGACTACACAGCCATCTCCCATCCCATCCTCGGTCGACTGTTTAATATCATGACATGTTCAACAAAAAACCTCGACAATATAAAAAATGCAAGACAATTCCTATTATTGAACATAGGATAGAGCTATCTAAGCTGTTATAATATACTATATTAAATAAAATTCATCAATTTAAATACATACTGCCTCATGATTGGTCGGAAATGGAGGAGGAGTGGAGTGGTGTGTACTCGTCTTCATGTCAAAAAATTCATCAAGTTTGTGCGAGGTATAAATTCTATCTTGGAATTCCTCGCGCTTTGTTCAACCATGTACCCTTTAAGACCTGAACCAAGATGTATTCTGTAGTAGACATACATTCAAACGAGTTCGAGTATCCAATATGTGAATAACACTATCTGTGTGATAAATTAAACCTGAACTCATCACTTTAAAGTCCAGCGTAGAAGTATGAACTTAAAAATTAATACCTATACTTCCACAACTGCAACTGCTTCACCCTCCCTAAACACGGAACTCATCACATCAAGTAACAGCAACCCAAAAATCGTATCCCTACACACTCAGTCACCGCCTGTCAGCAGTCCAAGTAGACGCAACACAATACTCTAGATTTGTGGTGTGTGTGTGTGTGTACTGTAAGGTGAAGGATAACCAGCTGGTCGGCCTCATTCACAGAGAACACAATGTCCGAGAGAGAGAGAGAGTATAATGAGAGTGGAGGGAAATATGAAGAAGTCTAGAGAGAACACACACACACACACTGTTGACGTGTATATTAAACCCTGAACAGTAAACTCATCTCGGCCTCGTTTGTGCTGCACAAACTGTTCACCAAAACAAAAGGGTGTCGAAATGAGGAAGAGTGTGTGTGTGTGTGTGTGTGTGTGTGTGTGTGCGTGTGTGGTTGTGTGCCGTCTCTCACACACACACACACACACACACACACACACACACGTTAAAATTCTAATTAAAATAACTGGTAGTTTTCCACTGATGCTTCTAAACGACTATGATACCAATATATACCTATATATATTGGTATATATGGGACTGAATTTGTGTCTTTAAAGAGGTTCACATGTGTCAAATATTTAAAACAAAGCTGTAAACAATTACAACAACTTACAAACTCACTCCCTCATTCACTATCTTCTACTTTATAAACCATCTTTACTGTGTAATGTAGTGTTTGGACACTTTAAAAAGGCAAAGCACTGACCTGTTAATAGCAAACAGCTTCTACTTTGGGAGGATTTTCTCTTTTTATTTGTCTCACGTGACAATAATTAATAATATTTCACCACATTCTGACATTTAATCAAACAAATCATTAATTAATCGAGGGAAATGTGCAGATTAATAATGAAAGTAATCATTAATGGACACTTTAAAATCAGCACTGACAGCGAACACATATACTTTAATGTGAATATAGACTTTAACTGCACTATACGAAGCATTTCTGACTCAAGACCAGATAATAATCAACATTATCGGCTGAATCCAAACTAGATGTTTAATTTCAGGTTCACACACAACTTTCATACTGAGTCCTGCAAGAATACTGATCAGATCAATACAGGCCAGATCAATACAGTACTGAAACTCAGGCATCACTTCAGAAAGAAAGTAACTCGCTGTAGATTTCACTTTGTTTTAAACTTATAACTTAAGATTTTAACTTTATTTAGACAGAAAGAAGAAAAGCTGCAACCATCAATTATTGTTGTAATTTTCTCAGTTAATTGATCGTCTCTGATCAGGTCAAAATATATTTATTATTACATAGTATAAAAGCTAAAAAAAGGTCACATATAAGCATATAAGAAGCAATTTTATGTAATTTTAACCTTAATAATTATTAATTAACATTAACTAATTGATTATTTGACAACTGGTTTCAGCAGATTTAATCTTTTGTTTCCCCCTGAAGAAAATACCAGAATGTGACCAAAACAACAACAACAACAACAACAACAACAACAGCAACAGCAGCCCTGTATGTTTGTGTCAGTCCCTCTTTGTTCAGCTAACAGCGGGCTTTGTGAGTTGGGGATCCTCTCAGGTCTGTCTGGACAGGAAGTGAGTCCCCTCCCACGGTTATTTCCAGCTTCATTATGGTTTAAAAATGGCTCAAAGCCCAAAAACTCACACACACACAGACATCGAAACTATAAACCAACATGAAAACAAGCCAGAGGAGACCATTTTATCAGCTGTTGAGGACTTTTTTAAAGACACGAACACCAGAAGAACTCATTTATATGTGAATTTTACAAACAAAACACTGGTTCTGTATCAAATATATGAAAAATAAAGGTGGTTAACACAATAAAATGTGTATTTACATGCTGCTTTCCTCATTTAATCCCAGTATTGCATCTTCCAGCTTTAACTATTTCACAATTAACGCTATCAGAGAGGTTGAGGAACTCATATTCTCTCTCTTCTTTTATTCTTGGAGGCTCATTGTTACAGGATTAATTCTTTAAATATTACAACACAAAGTCATCAGAGGTCAGCCAACACGTGGATCTGAGCTCAGTGCAAGCATGTGAGTGTGTGTGGCTGCTGCACATAATCAATAAATAAATATAAAAATAGATATATATAATGAACTCTATGAAGCAAACCAGTGGCATGAACAAAGGCTGACCAACACAGGACACTGAACGCATCATCATTCTTATTCTTATTCTTATTATGAATCGATAAATAAGCTTCCTGTTTATTGGGAGATAATAAAGTGTAAATTAAAATCAGACTTTCACACTCGTTAACTCCGGATTTGGTGCAGAGATTAAACACTGAAACACAACACTCAGCGACAGTGATCACACCTCAACAACCCGCCTCAGAGCCCCGTGCGCACCAAAGTTGCAGAGAAAAACAACCCGAAATAAAACCCGATCGATTATATATCGGTAATCGATAAGTCTCACCGTTTCACCGCCACGGTCTCCTGTTTCTCCTCCATGTTCACTCCGAGCACCGATCCGCGGTTCTGACCTTTAAAAACGGCTGTTAATTGTGGCAAAGCCCGACGGTACACACTGAATAACACAACGATCCTCCGCTACGTCAACGCGCACCGGTACGGCAACGACGCTGTTTCCGTTATCTTCCAAAATAAGAGTCCAGCTGAGTTGACGTCACTGGCTTTACATTGGATGTGTTTAAATGTTTTTATGTTATTTTATACTTTAACTATTAAATATTGTTGTATTTTACTTCCACTACAGATAAAGAGAGAGATATTCAGGAGGTGGCAGAATTATATACTCCTTTATTATTATGTCATTTTTTGTTATTTACAATCTTAAAACTCATTAATATTTATTTAATTTCTGTCAGCATTATTGTGTAATGTTTTCAGTCATGTTTAGGTTTACATTTACTTTCTATGTAGGCTCTTATAATTTTATTATATCTCTTAGGCTCTTATTATATGTCTATTTCCATTTACTATATGTATATACCCATACATTCACTTCTATTTTATATATTGTGTTAGATATTGTATATAAGTACTATTCTTTAATGCTGTGTGACTGGAACAACTGTAATGAACAAATTTCCCCCGGGGATAAATAATGTATTTCTGATTCTGATACTTATTTAATCACATACAATCATATGGATCAATATGTGAAAATGAAGATAAATAAAGATATTTGAACTCATAAACATTTAATTATATTGGTACAGCTAGATAGAAATATCTACAGGTGGCATTAGAAATCAATTACTTGTTTTATTTTCTTTTTTCCAAATACATGTCTTTTTCATTGAACCTATAACTTCATAACAGATCATTCAATTTATTTACATTTTTGAACATGTTTTGTTTTATTAATCTAAATTAATGTGTTAAATTTGACACCAAACTGGGGTTGCAGCTTCTACCCCTCTAGATCCAGCTCCACTATATATTCATGTAACAAATAGAATATGATGCATTAGTGTTAGATTAAAGGTCCTGTATATATATTGTGGCCGGAGTTGTACAAAGATATACTTGGATTTAAGTCCCCAAATTAATAATTAAACTAAACTAAACAATGATAAAGTTTGACACGGTTGCTGTTTAATCACTGTGGTCAAGTAAAAAGTAAAATACAGTAATGTATCAACAGCAATTGATAGGTGATCAACTGTTTAAGTAAATTATTCATAAAAATACAAAGTAATCTCAAAAGTGAGGACTTTATTTGAAAAAATTAAGAGTTGTTGACTCTGTTACTCTTTTTGTACAATTCATAGAATAAATAATTGATCAAATACTATTTGCAGTGATTAATGATGAAAATATTAACTGAAATTAGGCGAAACTTTGGTGAAAGTGGGCCAACAGATCAGAGCTTTTATTTTGATATATGTACATTTACATCCGGTGTTACTGACTGACGCTAACTTGACGCAGCTGACGCTCCCATCACGGACGAACTGACGCAGCCGTCCGGAGGCCACGCCCACCGTCACGTCGACAACCTCGGTGTTGTCTTCCTCTTCCTCTTCCTCCTCCTCAGCCGGAGAGAGGAGCAGAGAAACGGACTGATTCTGTCTGTTCTGCCCTCCATCGGCCAGCAGAGAGAGGAAGACATATTCCTGATGAAGGAGTGAACGTTGATTTAACTTTAACTATTAAAGTTTACTTTATATAAAACAGTAACTAACTCTTGATTACTGTTTTCTATGGAGCAAATTGTGTTTAATCCTCCTTAAAGTTTTACATCCCTGTCTGGTGTGAACGTTAATCAGCAGACTGAAGAACAGGAAATTAATTTAAACTGGGAAAATGGTTAACTCTAATGTTAATAAAAGTGTATTTAATTTGTCTTTAAAGGGGTAAAATGTGTAAAAGCCCTTTAAAGTTGTTTTTTTAAGTTAGGTTTTGTTCTTTTTGTGTAAAAAAATCAATAATCTTTTATTTAATTAATTAAATGCTGATACAATTAGAGCAGTATTTCCCTGCAGAAACATCTGAAACAGTATTTAGACTCAAAACTCTCCATTAAACAGGAATAACAAAACATAAATGAACACTGTTCATTACTTCTTTTATAAATACTCATTAAGAAGCATGAACCCGTAAAAATAATTAGTCTGGTTTTACTATTTATTTATGTGTGGCTGCGGTCAGGGAGGAACCTCCAGCATACTGACATTATTAATTCAGCCAATAAAACCAATATGGATCTAACAGCAGCTCACACACACACACACACACACACAAACCGACACACACACAGACACACACACACACACACACACTGTTTCAGGTTTAACGTTTTAATAACAGATCTCCATATACAAACTGGATACAGTGACGTCATTCTGCCGTTATAACTTCCACCAGAACAGGCATAAAGTGTGTGAAAGCGTGTGCGTGCGTGTGTGTGTGTGTGTGTCCGTGCATGGGGTAACTGTATGGTGATAATAGATAATGCATATACATACATACATACATACATACATACAGAGAAATAAGAAACACTTTAAAAAAACAACCCTTAAAGCAGTTAAAGTGTGTGTTCAGCCTGAAATGTGAATAAAAAATAAACATGGAATGATATTTGTTTGTTTGTTTGAACGAGACATTCAGAGAATAAATAGTGTGGCATCCTCACTTATTGTTCAAACTTTGTCGGCTCAGGTTTTTTGTCTCATTTTGACTCGACGCTGTTTGGTTTTTGTCCTTTCTGCTCGTGGACGCAGCGAACTGTACTCAGGTGGAGCTCCAGCTGGTCCCGTTCAGTTCAGTGCTCATTAAGGAGGTTTTAGTCTCTAAGTCGTAAAGCTTCCACAGCCTCATTATTACAATCACCATCCCTTTATCCAGTATTTACTCTGTTCTGTACGGTCACCTCTCANNAAATGAGATGCTTCTGTCAAAAAGCAAAGTAAAGTAACTGGAAATCCTTGTATAACAGGTTGATTTACACGCTGCGTCTTTAATAGTGAGTGTTCAAGTTCTTTTGTTTTGTAAATTAATTCAATTCAACCTTTTTCATTAGACTCTGAAGATCTTCCCTTTAAGTTTCCTTTGGCCAGGTGAGCGACGCTGCTTCTGACCTCCTTCAGCTACAGTTACATTTGTTTGTCAGCCTGTCAAGGTGAGGATGTTCTCCACAAACAAACATACAAGCAAAGGGACAACAACTTAAAATTAATAGAAAATGTACCAAGCAAATAAGAAATTAATTAGTTTTCTTACTGTATTTCACCTTAACATTTTCTAGTTCTACTTTATGTTGTTGTTTATGTTTCCATCCCACAGAAAGAAGACTAAAATCCCCTCAAACAGCTTGTGCAGCATATCTCAAATGTTTTTGTGGCTAAACAAACAACCACACAGACGATGCTGTGGTGTCAGATATTAGACACCTGCATCAGAATGTGCCTCTAATACAATCTCCAATGACCATGTGTGGTTTGATTTGAGTTCTCCACTCGAGTTTCATTTTAACTGTCGGGGACCTCTAAACAGAGAAATACACATACGCACATATTACTTATTATTATTGTAGAGGTAGAAAGAGAACTGCGATCAGTGTTTTCACACAAATCCCACAGAAAAAAAACCCCATAAGGGAATAAACAAAGGAAAGAAAAAAGTGAGACACGATAATGAAGAGTCCTCTCTTTACACATCGACTCTGCATGAACACTAATATACTGACTTTAATGCAGTCAGGAATTCATTTGCATCCCTGAGTACCTGCAGATGTGGAGACATTAAATCAGGTTCACACCTTTACTCAACAATGCCCACTTGTGATCAGAATGTGTTTTAATGTAAAAGCCTGTGAACACATTTAACTATAAAACACTTGGTCTAAGCTGCACAACCTGTTTGGAGATAATTTAAAATATTCCAGTGGAAGTTTTTAATCTTCGGTTTGGATCATTTTAACATGAAATATTCCTTTAAAACACCCGAAGACGGCTGATCTAGTTATTCCTCTCCGCTCAGACATCGTGATGAAGCATTAATTTATCCTTAAAGCCGAGATTGACCCCAGAGCTCGTGAGCTCATCCAAGACACACTCAGCAGACATGCCGTTGCTATGACGACAAAGATATGGGCTGCAACAATACCCGCGCACTGGCTCAAACACAGTGCGAGGGACCCGGTGGTTTGTCTGCTGCTCCAAGGGCATAACCTTGGCTCCTGCAGTCCTGGAAGTTGCTCTGCTATTTATAGGATGTATTGTCAGACAGGTAACTTTATAACCCACAAAAAAAAGACAGAAAGAAAGAAAGAACACGAAGGCTGATAAAAAATACTGCCGGTTTGCTGCACTGTGAGCTTTCAATTGGCACCGAGCTGTGACACATGTACAAGGCAGGAGTCAGTAGTTTGTTATGGCCCAAAATAAGAAGCATGTTAAAAGGAAAACAACTGATTCTGTTCAGAAACACCTCGGCAGTCCTTTCTCCCTGGATGATGGCGCAGAAGTGGACAGGAATGGTTTCACATGCAGGTGTGTAGATTATCAGCGAGGGTACAGAGAACCGGTTCTGAATTTAAAACCAGTTCCAGATTTACAACAACCAATTATTCCTCATTAAACATGCCTTTTCAATTCTGCTCATCGATTCCTGAAAACAGCATTTGGACCTGCCATCACATACCAATCATGTTTACAACATGGAGGACTCAAAAATGTGTCTTGTTGAACCACCATGTTTCTACAGGAACTGGCTCTATATATCACTAGATGCCACTGAATCCTACACACCAGCCCTTTAGCACAAAGTACAGCTGAGGCTGATGGGAATGTCACTAGATTTACATATTTGATCACAGACCAAACTATAATTCTGACCTGATGATGGTGCTGGATTTAAAGTGAGAGGAAGACCAAAGTCAGCTGAATTCATCCTCTGGTAATAGAATTTCATGGCAGTCCATCCAAGATTTATTTGTTTTGAACTAACTGACAGACAAACAGACAGACAGATGTTGTCATCACTAGCCACTAGCATGGCTAACCGCTCTTAAATTGATACAGGCTTCATACAAACTGCTCCTAACAACTGTTGCTGCAGCTTCTGTGTGGAGAGAGCAAACTAACAACCCCTCCCATACAGAAATCAGCCAACACGAACACAATGTCAGACTAAATAATGAAGTTTAAAACCAAAAAGAGTTAGAATGCAGAGTTTTTAATGTCCACTGTCAGATTTATAATGCCTCTAATGTCTGCACGTCCAAACCCCAGCAAAAACAAATGTAGAACAGATGATTTGCATGTTCAACCTGTGCATGGCAAATCATCACAAAATGCCCATGGCCATAGATTTATGGCAGTAAGCCCAAATCTAATGAAAAATATAGGTGTTTTTTTGCTCGCAACATATTCTCTTTTCTCTCCTTATTCAGAAATCTGAACAAAAAGATTCAATAAGCACCAAAAATCGATAAGCAGAATCAAAAAAGAAATAAATCCAAATCTCGTTTCCTCTGAAGACATACCAGTGAATGGAGGGATTACAGGAGCCGTTTCTGCACAGAGGTCAGATCAAACAACACAATAACACCCCCTTTGTGTCACTCATGGCAGCTATGGATGGACTGTGGATTTATTGTATGTGCAAATTCTTGCAAGAGGCAATTCAGGTGCAACAGGAATGGAGTCCAAGACACAGTTTATATGATGCTACACCATAATAAGGGGATTGTGTGTGTGTGTGTGTGTGTGTGTGAGCAGTTTAACTTTCGGAATGTGCAAGAGTGTGTGTGTTTGTATGTGAGCAGGTTATTCATTAAAGATGCTGTTTGTTCGTGCGTGATGTTGAGGAGAATTAGTATTATTCGGACCTATTAACTTGGGACAGTCAGCTGAAAATGTACAGCCAGCAGCCGCTCCGAATATTGCTCTCTGTGCTCGACTCGGGTCAGTCTCTCTAAAAAGTCACACTGGACCCGAAATGCTTCTGCCTCAGGTGACAGATTAAACCCAGCTCGCTTTCAGGGACAAACTGGAGAAACTCTATCACACAAAATAAAAACACATTGACATCTTCAAGTTCCCTAAAACAGCAGACATTCAGTTTTTAACCGTGGTTGCTATGTACAATAGAAGGATCTTCATATATTAATATTCTTCATCTTTCCGGTTTTTTTTCTTCATTTCCTTGCTGTCAAGTCATTATTTCCGTACACGTTTGTCCTTTTTGTATTTATAGAGTATTTTCAGTATTTACATTATAAATTACTACACAGTCTTGTGATAAAATAAATAAACTTAAATACAATGACCGTGGCTTTTGCAGAGTCTTTTGCATGAAGGGGAACCGAGAGGGATCAGACGAAGGAGGGGCTGAAGGACGAATGAAGACGGAGTCCGGCCTGCTGTTTGCTCCGCGTGGTTTCAGGGCTGCAGACAGGAAGGATAAACGATCTCTGTTTGTTCGATGCAGTCTTTGCGCAGAGAATCACGGCCATGTGAGGTGAAGGCAGAGGACCGAAGCACTGGCAATACATTTTTATTCCCACAGCGGCGTGAGGTGGGAAACTCTCCCTGAAGCACAGTGCTACAGCCCTGCCCTACTGCTGACCACCATAATAACATCAGGGATCATTTAGCATTTCAGATTTCCTTCCTAATGTAATGTAAAGGAACAAGTGTTGCCCTTTAAATCTAAAGTTACATACACGTGATATTTTTGAGAGGTAACTGTGACCTAACTATGGGTTTAACTGAATATAGACTCACTTTAAAAGTGAATGAAGGCTAACAAACAACCTTAAATCCCTTACAAAGAACAAGTCATTTTGTGTTGATTCTGACTAGAAAGAAAACTTATTTAATCTTTGTACCTGATGTACAAAAAAATAGCACTGAAGAAAAGCAGACAATCTGTGGCTCTAAATTATATAAACAAGAAGAGCGAGTGAGTCATGAAATTTGAATTTTGAACAAAACACTAAAATATTTATGGCTGTTGCCTTTGTCGGGGAGATAAGAACCGAGGTTTGAGTTTTAAATACATTATGTGGCCAAACGTACGTGGACGCCTGAACCTATATGTGATTGTTGATATCAGAAAACCATAGACCATCCTCTCGTCTGGAAAGCGTTTAATTAGTCAATAAAGTTCTTATACCTTAAACTGGAAAACCATTTCTTTAAAGGACCTGGCTTTGGCACCTGGCTTGTGGGGCACTGTCATGTAGAAACAGGAAAGACTTCCCCAAACTGCCAAGCTGGAAGAACACTGTTGTGTGTAAAATATCACAGTTTGCTGTACTAGTAAGTCTTTACTGGAACTAGTAGTGTCCCCATACTTTTGGCCATGTCAGATATATGATCCACTGCAGCTACTCTAAGCCAAACTAACCTGATAAGGTAGCTTGAATCTTTGCAATCTAAAGACTTCATAAATCTGTTGAAGGTAGTTTCATACTGCATGTGCCAACGACTCTGGAAGTGTTTCCCACCTAACTGGCCGTTGTGAGAGTAAAATCATTAAGGAACAGGGTTTGGGTCATGGCAAGTACAGAGAGTAATACTGAGGGTTTAATACTGCAATGGTATGAAGGTCTCTGATTGTTGGCCCCTAATTTGACGTTTGAGGATCGGTGGAGAGGGTGCTGGACAGAGAGAAGACAACGAGGGAGGAGATGGAGTGCAAAGCTTCTCCTCCAGCTATACCACTGTGCCACTCGGAGAGTTCCCGTTCTGTGCTGTCAAGTTCTGAACAGAAAGACAAAACATAAAAGAAAGTTAGACAGACGGGGACAATCAGACCAAGAAGATCTGCACTTCACTTTTAAGCGCAGGAATATAAAAAGCCATTGTTGCTCAGGAGACGGGAGGTGAAATCATCTCAAACTGTTGAGTCATATCTGTACCTTTAGAAGAGGTGCAGTCGGAAATATTCACCAGGTTAAAAACTCAAAACAAACGTTTTATTGACCTGTTTGCAGACTATCATTGAACTCATGAACTTGGAGTGAAGTTTTACTGACAAAACAGTAAAAATATACTAACAACTAACACCAAGTACGCTAATGGCTGATTACCATTTCATGATGAACATCCTGAAATAAGTCAAACCATACTGAAGAGAAGTGGAAAGGAAAGTTAATAGTGACAGTAATTGTTAGTTGTAGCCAAAGAGTCAAATCAAAGAGTTAATTTTATACATACCGCCTTCCCCGGCCGTGCCCAGGTACAGATGAGTCCTTCTTGGCAGGCTGTGATGATGCAGTCGTCCATGAACACCAGGACCGTCAGCCTCTCGTGTGCAATCTTCTTGCACACCAGTGGCTCCAGCAGTGGCACCTCATGCATGCGTGGGCACAGCGTGGTGCCCAGGACCTTGGCGGCGTCCAGCCGGTTGCTCCTCGGCGCCACGTTGATCTTATCGTTGCTTTTGCTGATGTTGCCCAGGCTGTGGTACCTCTTGTGCTCCTTCTCCACGCCGCCGCTGCAACCGGATTTGTCCGACTTGCGCTCCTGGAGCGACAGCGTGGCAAAGCGACCGATGCTGAAAGGGGTGCTGTTTCCTCCGGTGCTGCTCCCTACCCCTCCTCCACCTCCCCCACTGCCCTCTGAGGCACCCTGGCTCTTGGAGGCATTTGCCACAGCGGGGTGGGGCAGAGAGTTTGAGCGAGAAAGGGAGCGAGGAAGCGGTAAGGGGAGCGTTGGTGGGTTGGAGGTGCCGGTGTTAGTGTTAGGAGGGTGATGGTGCCCCTCAACCCCTCCACTTCCTCCCCCACCTGAAGTGCTGTTGACCACACCACTGCCAGAGTTGGATAGCGAGGGTCCAAAAGTGTTAGTAAAGGCACGGGACAGCGGCAGGCGTGGGTATAACACGTCATCCGTCAAGTCCCACAGACAGAACTGGGTGTCCTGCCCCACTGAGCCAAACCGATATGTGACTGACGCCGAACTGCCTCCTTTAGAGCTGTGCCGAGAAAGACGCGACAATGTGCTACTTGTTCGGACCCGGCCAAAGTGCATGGAGTTATTTGGCACACCCTGGTGGAGGTCCTCCTCGCTGCCACTGAGCTCCATAGGTTCATCGTCTTCCAGGGAAGTCGTGAAGGGGTCAAATGCCACCACATTGACCCAGGACTTGTGGCCGTGACCTCTTGCAACCACACGGCTTTCTGCAAATGACCATACCGTAACCAGGTCATCCTCTCCACCTGTAGCGAGATATTTCCCATCGGGGCTCCATGACACACACAGCAGCCCACCGAAGTAGCTCTTCATCACCCCCTGCAGCTCCATTGAGTCAAAATGGAAGACGCGCAGGCAGCCGTCCTGTCCTACGCACGCCACATGCACACCATCCGGAGAGAAGGCAAACTCGTTGAGGCCTCCCTCACCCACGGCCCATCGTAACAATGGGTTGCGCGGCGTCTTGGTTTTGCAGGCGTAGACGGCGAAGCCCTCGCCCTGCCGCAACAGAGAGTACTGTGGGGCCGTGGTGCCACATGGGTGGTCCACGTTGTAGAGGTAGAGGTGGCCACTGGCATGGGAGGCCAGGAACAAGTTCTCTGACTTGGGAAGCCATTTCAGACAAGTCACCTTGGATTTGTCTATCAACCTCTGGAAAACAGGAAGGAGGTGGATGGAGAAAAGGAGGGGAAGAGGAGGGAAAGAGAAGAATTGGAAGGAGAGAAGGAGAAAGGGAGAGGGTTTTGAGGGAAAATAGGATATGGAAACAATGGAAAGGAAAATAGTAAACATTTTAGTTTTGTTTATGCTTTATGTGTGTTTTGAGTCAACTCATTGCTAGCAAAATGTGTGATTAAAAAGCTATTAAGAGAAGCACACGAGCAAGGAGGAAGCTTGGGAAGAGATAGAAGGTCTACAGAGATCAAGAAACAGGCTGCAGCAGAGACAGCGAGGAGACAGACTGAAACCAACAGAGAGAGAGAGAACCAGGGAGTGGAAGACGAGGAAAGAAAAAGATTGAGAGAAGCAAATCTCAGGGAGGGGAACAGATTCACGCAAACACAAAGTCTGCATGCAGTAGTGCACACATACACCCCCAATCTCCTAAATTCAATTGGGAATCCCATTAAAGAGAATCCCATTAAACAGAGAGAGGCAGTTCAGAAGACGCAGTAAAAGAATGTGACAAAGCATGTTAGAGGGAAAAGGCTGAAGACAGTGTTGGAATTTCTAGGCTACATCACAGTCTCCAAACTAGGGCAAAAAAAATCGATACAAGAATGACAAATTACTTCTGATGTATTGTAGCAGGCTTTAATCACAACAAGGAAGCTGCAACCCCCGACCACTGCGCAGACATACACAGACAAATATAATACCTCCTCATTGAAGAGTTTACTGGTTTCCTTCTTGATGGGGTCGAGGTACTGGACCTGTCCGGCTGAGAAACCCACGATGAGAGCTACACTCTCTGCCGTGGCGGAGTACTGGTTGAAGTCGTGACACGTCGGCTGTGTCCCCTTGTAGATTCTCTTGTCTATGGGCTTACTGAGGTCTACAGCCTGCAGGCAGACAGATTGGGAAAACACAGCCATGATGCACAAACAAAACATCAGCCAAGAACAGTGAAGGTTCACAAAGTGAGTTTCAGGGACGTTCAGGGGTTCTTAAAAGGGTTTTCATTTGTCCCGCAGGATTCATTTCAGAGCACACTAAAACAATTTAGCACAGTTACAAATCTGCTGACAATATATCTAACATTTCTGGGCCCATTTGTCATTTGGTTCTCTTATTTTGACAAATGACCATCAAGTGTAGATGAGAAAAAGTCACATTGAGATATTTCCACAGCAGCTGCAGCAGAGTTGGATAGAATTTTTTTTTTCATCCATACAAAAGATCAATAGTAAACATCAGGTTTTGGTGTCAGAATGAAGAAAACAAGGGTTTTCTTTCTAGAGCTGCTTTGTACTCTGACATTCAACATACAGGGAGAAATCCATTAAACGAGATTCAGGGACGCTGATGTTTCTTTCCACAAACAGTGGCCACAAAAGACCAGAAAATAACATGGCTGCAGAGAATTTCTACACCGGAAACACTCTTGCTCCTGATATTGGTCTACCCATCAACAGCACACCGAAAGGTCACACCTGATCTCTGAGGGTTTGCTAAAGTCATTCTGGATTACACTGTAGTGAATGCTGTCAAGATTTTAATATAAACAAAGCCTCGACGTGTTGGAAGGCAGTCACAATCAAACAGCACTAATAAAACAGCAGGGGCAAAGAATATACCCATACTGCCCAATAAAATGTAATTTAGTGAGAGAAACTGCAATGAATGAGATCAACAGATTGTCCATTTAAAGGCTTATATGAACACTGAAACAGCTTTGTAATCATTCCTCCTGTTCACAGAGAGCAAGCGTAAGTGATCGGGGATTCAATTCACACTCCTTGTTCTATTGCGAAATACATTCCTGAGGTTTCAGCAGTCCGTTAGTCGAATCAAGGGGGTATCTTCCAAAGTTTGTTCAGTTTAAAATTCCCTCATTACGTTCGTAGCCCTCCCCTGATGCTCAGTTTGGGAAAACACAGAGAGGCAGTTTCATTAGCTGAAGATAAACCTGGAATGTAGTTTTGTTTGGAAAGAGGACAGTTTCATTAGCTGAAGATAAACCTGGAATGTAGTTTTGTTTGGAAAGAGGACTGAAGCAGAACAGCCAGTAAGACCAGGAGGAATAATTACAGCAAACTAAAACTGTTACTGAGGATTGTTTTAAGACAGATTTATAACAATGGTAACCTATTCTTTAACTAAATGTATGGTTTGAAAGTCAGTGTGCCGGCTTTACTCTTCTCATCAGGGACAGTTTGGGACAGTTTGTGTGAAGAAAGCATTCTGGGAAATGTAGGAAGTCACTGAGTGAAGGAGAAGTAAATGAGGCAACCCAGTAAACACTGATTAGTGATTTAGAATTCAGAAGTCTAGACGTTCAGGTTATGCAGTTAGGACCTGATTCAAATTGAAATACAGTCACAGAAATGCTGTTGTATATGTATCGTAGACGTCTAAAACATTTTCAAACAAATGTATCTGAATTTCAGGACAACTACAGTAGAGTGTCTTTTCCAGTTTGACCAGCAAATCAGTGATTAAATGCTTACTGGGAAGTTTAGGCAAAGTAATTTTCTTCTTTTTTACCTTCTGGAGGGCAGCGTGCATTCAGACTGATTATTAGAGATTCACCGGTGCTGATCGACAAGATGTGATCAACATTAAATACAGTTTCTTTGTCAATGTCAGTATAGAATTCACCATCACTCACAAAGGACTGCTGACTGCGTAATAATGCCTTATATATCCCGCACCCTAACCCTAACCCATCAGATCGGTTCAATATCAGCACATACCTACAGTTTAGGTATCAGAGTCAGTATCAGGAGAGGAAGAATCGTATCTGTGTCTCTCTACTGATAGAAATGCCTGGGCTCTTGTAAAAAGGGCCAGTGAACCCTCCCTAACTCTGCTTTACTCATATTGACACATAGCATATAACACAGCTTGCTGTCTGTCTCCTATGTAACATGATTACTGCTGGCCTCCATGAGCCACCCCAGCAGCTGGGCCCCATCAAACGTTCCCCTTTTACCCTCTTATGGGCGTCCCTGCCTACTGATTACATGTAAATGTGCATCTGCTCTGAGGGTTTATTGTACTGATTAAATCCTGAATGTACAGTACACTGATGGTGATATACAGTCTGAGTCTGTTGTATGTTGTATGAGTTTCCTGCAGAAGCCAAAATCAGCCTTCTCACAGAAAGCTGCACGAGTCATGAAGACACACATTTCTCTGCAAATTATCTACATTTACTGCACTTGTGAAGTAATTTAATTATGACCCAGAAAAGAGGAAAATAATGAATCTAAAAGAGGTGCGACTGACGGTGTGCAGTGACGGAGAAGCCTTGACATTTTAAAATGTAGTCAGTTCCAACATTTTCTCTCACTGATCCATGCCACCTTAGAGGAGGAGAAGCTTTTTACATTTGTCCTCCAGTTCCTCCTAAATGGGTTATTAGCATTCCTCATTAAGAAGCAAGTGGTGCAGCTATCTGCGAGCAATTTCAGCCCTCTAAAATCCCTGTGGTGCATGCTAACAATGCTAAAAACAAGCTCTGTAAGGAGAAACTGGAGGACAAATGCAGATAGTACTCATTCCCTTGGGCGAGAGCCTGGTTGAGAGAAAAACATCTGATTCAAAATGTCAGATTTCTCTCTTGCAGAAATAGTAGTGTTATATGATATTTCACACTTTGGTGACTGACTTTTAATATCAATATATCATCTAGTGCATGAAGGGACAGGTCGGGGAAAGAGCCTGTGGTGCAGTTTGAGAGCTATAAAAGGGTTTTTTTAAGTTTTAAAATCAGCAGCATCTTGACTCACGTTGCAGCTTCCCTCTTCAGCAGCTCCAAACAGGAAGTGTACGATGTGAGGACTTCATATTAACATTCAAAATGCAGCAGAAAGGAAGAAACAGCCTTGAGCTCACATGCTTTCAAATAAAAGAAACGCAGTGAATGGAGAGCTGTCTGACTCTTCCTGTCTGTTTCCTGCCCGTATAGTAACACTGTTGCCCTCCTGTAGCGTCCACTGACACTGATGCACCATTCACTGACTGTTCAGCCACAATCAGCAGCCTCTCCATTTTGCATTGCACAACAGAAATAAAACCTTTAATGTGAGTGAATGTGCAGCACCAGCAGCTCAGACGGGCTCCGTTTGGGAAGATGACGAAATACACCATAACAGCATCACACTAGCAGTGCAGGCTAACAATGCTAAGCTAAAAAAAAAAAACATCCAATCTGTCATTCTGGCCAAGAGCGGAGCGAAGAGCAGGCTCACCTTCTTGATGTTGGTGTACGTGTAGAAATACAGCTCCCTGCCGATGTTGAAGCACACCCGCTCCGACTCCTCGCTCGGGTCTTCGGGCTGCAGCTTGACCATGGAGACCCGGACCGGCGGCAGGAAGCCGGCCGGAGAGGAGTTGGCTGCGGCATTAGAGGAAGAGGAGGCGGCAGCGGCCCGCGGCCGGCGCAGCCGGGCCAACTGCAGCAGCCGACCCCTCCAACCGGGTATAAGGACCGGGTCCAGCCCTGGGCCAGCGTGGCATACCGGCGGACGGACCCAGCGGCAGTCCGCCCCGCCTGCTGCGAGTCCGAGAGGGTGAGCAGCTTTGTAGAAGCTCCCCTCTGGTCGAAGTGGGAATTTAATCTCATTGGATATCCTTCAGAGCGCCGCCATCTCCGGCCATTTTTTCAGTACAAACAGCGACAGGAAAACTGAGATTGCTGACCTGGAAACAAACATGCAACGCTACAATAAAAAAAAGTACTAGAAATAAGAAATGGGAGAGGCGAAGGCGAGCAGCCAATAGCTGCCGAGCTCAGCTAGGCCGACCAGCACACCGGTCTTGCTCCAGTGCATTTTACACCAGTACCGGCCACCAAACCACTGCCTACCTGATAAATGAACCCGGAGAGAAAGCCCTTCTGAGCCGGTGTAAGCAGCATCCTCGACCGGGTCTCTGCCTCCGTGCATCCAGTGTGCGTAAAGTACGTGCGATGATGCGTCGGCTGCTGCTGCCGCTGGCCCGGCCTGGCACTGCGCACTCACACTAATGTGTCGGGGGGTACGGAGAGGGCATCCGGTCCTGGACAGCCTGCTCCGCGTTACCCCTCATACACAACCCGGTAAAAAGCAGCACCACCTTAAAGACATGGGTGTGCTACTTCACAGCCCCGCCCTCATGGAAATACACTATAATAACGCTTCTAGTGGTTGTAACTGAGTACATTTTACATTTTACTCCACTACATTTGTCTTTCATCCCCTTCCTGAAAAACAATGTCCGTCCAGATGTGCTGGTTTTGAATGTTTGTGATGTGACTTTTTTTGAATGAATATAGCCTACTTTGAAGGCTATATTATATAGTATATTCTTTACTAGTTATTCTGTAGTTTGACAGATTAACAGTGAAGAGTGAACAGACATACATTCTCTAACTTCTAGTCAATTAATTAATGGTGAAATTAAAATATTCCCAATTTTTCTAGGGACCCCCTGGAACTCCCTCAATGACCCCAGGTTGAGAATATTTATTATTTCTTCAGGAAACTATTTAAAAACCTTCTTGGGTTAGAGGAAAAATGTCACAAAGTTGAAAACTGAGCTTAGTTGTTGACTTTTTAGAGATACTTGGTTCTCTCAGGACAGCAATACATCATATGTTTGTATTATTATGTAGATTAAACTACCCAACAAGTATATAAAGTAGTTAAATGAGCTCAACCTTAAACATCTGCAGCAGTAAAATGCAACATACTCATGCAATGCAGCAGTAATTTTAATCCCAAAAATGTCCTGTATAAGAGTTAAACACCATTTTACTGCACAGTGTATACTTTAAGTACTTTACATTTAGCTGATAATACCTAATTTTACTTAAATGTAGTTTGAAATGCAGAGTATTTTCCGTGTGGTTTTCTTCCACTGCTGCTTTTCTTTTAAATGCAACATAAAATAACTTTTTATCATGGGAAAAGATTATTAGTGCCACCAAAGATAGCTTCATTTCAATTGCAGAAACCTGACACTGTTACATGTTAAAAAGAAAATAGCTTTTACCGAATAAATGAATTCAAATGAAGGATTTGCACAATCTGAATCAGACTGCAGAGGCTTGAAATTAGGTGCAGATATTATTGACTGTATGTTTCTCCAACAACTTCATGCACCTTTATTTGTCTTCAGAAGGCTGAGATTCAGAAGTTGGATTAATTTCTAATCAAATGTTTTGTTTTACATTCAGCAGTTCAACATGAGTTTGACAGATTTCTGCAGATCACACACAATCTGCGGCGGCACTTATGTCCTTCTGTACTTTTTCATAATGCAACGACAAACAAACTGAGTACAGTTCACTGCTGTAGAGCTGTGGGTAAATATTATACATCATCTTTTTATTACAGGGTGGACACACACACACACACACACACACACACACAGGTAGCACAGTGACGTACCCACACCACTTAAACACACAAACAGGGATTACCTGTAGATCTATGTCACCCTGGACGCAACCTGTTCCAACTCCCCCCTTCTGGTAGGAGCTACAGAGCGCTGTACGCCAAAACAAAGAGACACAGCAACAGATTCTACCCACAAACCATCACTCTGAGTAAACAGCCCTGTACAGTAACCCTCGGACTACTAACGAAACCATTCATTTCTTATTCTCCATTGCTGAACATTTAGTTTCTTTGCATACTGTATATACTGTCATATTCACCTACCTCATGTACATAAAGATACCTGCACATAAAACATTTATTTCAGCATCCTTTGCACTCTGCACCATTGCACTACCGTCTACAAATGTTTGTTTATAGATATAGATAACTCATAACTATATAACTGCACATCTAAGTCTGTTTATTTATACTGTCAGTCTGTGTTTGTTCAAACATAAAACTGGAGTCAAATTCCTTTTATGTGCACATACCTGGCCAATAAAAGTGATTCTGATTCCCCTCAGTCAGTACACACACCTCATGTTGTGGTAATTATCTTTATTACAGTGTAACGGCAGTAAGAAGTGTATATCTTTGATCCAACACTGACATACAAACTCAGGTTTAAAAAAAACAACACACAGAATGAGCAACAGCAGTGCTCCAGTCCTTTTTTATGCTTGTATGTGGGATCTGAAGCCATATATTTCATTCCCTTCACGCGGCTGCTGCTGCGATCGACAATACTGTGGCGGAAGGACACAGATACTCCTCTTTAGTTGTCGGAGGAGAACCTTCCTTCACTATTCAGTTACGGTTTTCTCAGCTGTCTGGATTCTGGAGATTGTTCTGGATCTCAGAAACCAAGTTGAAATTAGCATAAATAAGAGCAGACTCCTCAAGATTGAGGGACAAAGGCTACAACACACAACGATCCTCTCAGGTCAGTATGAATTAGCAACATCCTTCCATCATTTCCTTCCGACATATCTACTCCCATTAGAAAATAAAATACTGTGGCAGTGACGCCTCCATGCCCGTCAATGTGGATGAAAGTCCCGGGCAGAAGCATTCATATGGAAGCAGAGTTGGGAGTTTCCCATGATGCCTTAGGCCAGCAGACAGGAGATTCAGGGTAGGATGACGTAGTTCTCAGCGATTTCCAGGACGTAAAGGTTGGACAACCCCGACTGGTCCTCGGTCTGATGCGTCTCCAGGACAACCATCCTGAAGTGAGAAGGTCAGAGGATGTCAAACATGGATACGATGGAGTTTAAACCTGCCTAAACTCATTGGGGGGGTTACATTTGTGTGACACATTTTGCTTACATGTAGCTCGGAAACCAGATTACAACTGTTTATCACATCAGACGGTTCAATAAATCCTAAAATGCAACAAGTGTAATATTAGAAACATCAGTCAAATCAAAGCAAAGCAAAATTATCTTGCTCTTATTTAGGGATAGCAATATTGATCTGTCCTTTAGTCAGTCTGACGCAGCAACCTCTGTGGCTGCGACAAGCCAACATGGAAGTAACAAAAACTGCAATTCAATACTCTGTTAATGACAACTGTACAGGGGGTGAATTTTTATATAACTCACTCGTTTAAATAATATTAAGGCTTAAAGTTATGTATAATTAAGGGAAAGCCCGCTTTGAGTGACAGATGGATGCCGTCACAGGGAGCTGTTTTCAGTAACTAGGCTTCATATGGCGTGCCTCAGCTCCACCCACGCTCCACATCTTTGCCCATTCTTGGATTAGCCGCGAGCCGGCAGAGTCAGGACTGTCAAGATGGCAAAGGCCAGAGCCAACCAGCTTCACATTGGCTCTTCAGAACCATTATTTTTAACTATACAGTCTATGGTTGGTCCACCATTTTAGTCCAGACCAGACCACACCAGAAATTTTTTATCAAAAGGAAATGTAAGCAACCAGGCATTGAGTAAAGACATGCTGTACCTGTCTGACTGCACCAGTCTGTAGATCTTCTTGTGGTCGGTGATATTCTCCGCCCCCTCGTTTATACCTTGTCCTCTTCTCAGCCAACCGTGACGCCATACTACCAGCAGCGTGTCCTCAAAAGGCACTGGACAGACAGAAAGACAGACAGTCAGTCAATGCTGAGCTCTAATCATCTACAATATTAACCGTCACTGGTTTGTCGCTGGATGTTCTCACCTATAGACTCAATATCATGAGAGAACGTGGTCTCGAGTGGCAGAGGCCTGTTGCTCTTCGACTCCCCCTCCAGACCAACTATATGTACCGACCCTGCGGAGGAGAGAGGCTTCATGTTAGAATACCAACAGCTACATCAGTGTGGAAATAGAACAAAGACAAAACATAACGTAGAGTTTACACACACATCTGTCAGATCCTTCTCCTGTCTAGCAAACAAACACTGTAGTGGCACCCTAGACAATGTCAGAAATGACCTCTTCACCATGTTGCCTAATTGTCCATATCACAACATGCACATATTTAAGAATAAACACCAGCACATTGGTATTTTCCATTATCAAGATCCCATTAATTGTCTTGTAAAATTGCAGTTTATTTGTGATTATTTGTACCTTTGTACAAGAAGCTGCTGCAAATATTTGATTGTTATACTATGCCATAACAGTGTGGGTACTGTCTCCAATGTGATGGGAATAAACAAGCCCTATAAAACGTCACATGGCAAATTGGACCACACACTTTGGAATACATTTTCCTGATGGATGGAAGCAAGAACAAAGGGAAGAGGATGGTCTTCTCTCATATTTTGTGTCTGGAACACATAATGTATTTATGTGCATCTTGCATAATATCCTTTGACATGAATGCATGTACAATCTAATGCAACCCAACACGCAACAAAGGGTCTCTTTGTGAAGCTGATGCAGCTCTTTGGTATTTCTGAGACCACAGTTCCTAATGTTGTGGGTTTTGAATTCACAATAATGTACAGATATTTGTGTTGTTATGTCTCTCTCTTATCTCTGTATAATGTCAGAAAAAGAATCTACTGTGAGTGCTTTAATATTAAAGACAAGATGTTAGAGTTACTTACTTTCTACGAGGACGAGCAGCGAGTGACTGTCCAACTGGTGTACTTGAACTACATCTGGGCAAGGTTTCTCTGTAAGAACACACACAACCACAGACACCACAACACCACCATCAGCAACAAAAACAACAGCGCTTGTTTGTTGAGAATTCAAATCATGGTGTTGTGTTTGCAGCTCTTTGCAGTATCAACCTACCCAGGCCGGAGTTGGTGAACCAGGATGTGTTGGAGTTGAGGTTGATGTATTCAATAACGACTGGCTGGTTGGGGTTGGATCCCCGAGAAACCCCGATACACACCAGTGGGTACTCTTGCTGGGGCACCACGATCATCTCAAACACCCGTACAGGGTTGGGTAGGGGGAAGTCAAAATGCTGCAAGCATGAAAGAGGCAAGGTGTAAGTCAAGAGTTTAATTTCCTTTTAAATGTCTTTGGGTATTTAGCTGTGGGTTTTCATCTCTCGCAGGGCAGAACACAAAGCAGACAGGTTAAGTGTTTTGTTCAAGGACACTTAAACCTGCAACCTTTCAGCTACAGTATTGTGTGTAACTGAGGGCACCAATAAGTCTATTCTCAAAACCACAGCGATTTTATGGTTTAAAGCTATCTCAGAAATTTTATAATGGCCATAAAATGCTTTATTCCCCTGCCAGTAGTCATTTTATTAGCTGCTGTCAGTGTTAACAGTCCAATAAAAATGGTAAAAAATGGAAGTAACAAAGATCATTCTATACATCATCTCAAATTGCATATGTTTCTGTTGTATATTCATAATGAATCTCCTATATAGCATTCATGGGTTTCCCTTCACCGCAGCATGTTATACTTATCCTTTTTGCTCACGTACAACCTTCGGTGCAGCACTTGTGACCCTTAACAGCAGAGAAAAAGCTGCATTTTTGACACATTGTGATGGAAAAAAGAATTCTAATGCTGTGTTGTGCCCTATTGACATGAATGTAAAATAGGGTTGAAAAATTCTGTGCTAGATGTTATGTTGCATTTGTCTTTATAGGAAATCTGAGTTTCCAACTTCTGACTTCTCTGGAACCGAAAATTAGACTTAATTTAACTCAGCTGTTAATAATAATCTTAATGGTTGGACCTGTTTGATCCTCTGATGTAGAAACTCGTGAAAAATATCCTGCTTAAAACGCAATTAAAGGTCCCGTGTGTAACATTCAGGAGGATCTATTAACAGAAATGAAATATAATATTCATAGCTATGTTTTTAAAGTGTATAATCACCTAAAAATAAGAATCATGTTTTCATTACATTAGAATGAGCCATTTTTATCTACAGTCTACCACGTTGAACCGAAATCCTCCGAATGTCTCTTTGTACTGTAGCTCTAAATACATGTTTTCCCCATCAAAGTGACAATATTGTTCACATCTTTTCCTTCTACACCATCCCTTAAATCCCCAAGCATTATTATGGAAGCCCATTTTTGCCATTGTGACGGGGGTCATGGTCATGTTACATAAATGAAAAATTCAGTCCTAGAGGTTTTTCTTTATGTGGGTGTTAAAGGACATGTCCTGATCAAAGATAACACCAAAATTCCTAAAGGTGGTGCTGGAGGCCAAGGTAATACCATCTATTCTAGAGTAATTATACCTTTAGAGAGTGAGTTTCGGAGTTGTTTGGGGCCAAGTACAAGAACTTCAGTTTTGAGTTTAACATCAGAAAATTGCACATCATTCAGGACTTTATGTCCTTAAGACATTCTTGTAATTTAGCTAATTGATTAATTTAATCACTTGATTGATATGACTGGGTATCACCTGCATAACAGTGAAAATGAATATAGTGATTCCTAAAAATGTTGCTTAAGGGAAGCATATATAAGGTAAATAGAATTGGTCCAAGAACAGGACATTGTGGTACTACATGACTAAGTTCAGTGTACATGGAGGATTCATTGTTAACATGTATAAATAGGACTTAAACCAGCTCAATCGGGTTCCTCTAATATTAATTAGATGCTCAAGTCTCTGTAATAGAATATGATGGTCAATGGTGTCAAATGCGG